ATCGTCATTTTGTAGAGCGTTTTTTACTGCATCTTTTCTTCATAGAGACAAATTTACAACCACTTGTTTCACTATAGAAAAATTTATTATTCAAATCGAGTCAGGACTTCTGGCCCACCCTTTATGCCGATCGATGGCATATATCGAGATAGTAAAAAGTCTAAAACGATGTTTGCCCATGGCTCTTCCTTCAAAAATAAGAGCAGTTTTTCTGTTTTTCTCAGCGGAAATCGAGAAAAGTAGAAAAATTTATAACTCCGTCAAATTAACTCGTATCCACTTGAAATTTTTACACCAGATAGGCTGTGTAAGCACTGATTACTCCAAAAGTTTCAGCTCTCTAGCACATTCCAAACAGAGAGAGTAGGTGTGACTCTAAATGCAAGAGGATATAGTTGATACAACAACAAAAGAACACAGTAAAGAAACTTAAGATTTTCTCTACTATAATTGAAAACTTTATAACTTGGGAATAGAAGGGCGGAATTTTCTCTTTTCCGCTCCAAAAATCTAACATTTTCAAAAAAATGTATTCTTTGCTTATTCAACCTGTGACATAGATTGTGCTTCACGAAACATGCATAATAAAGCAAAAGTTTTGTTTACAAACTGTTCGTTAGGCTGTCAAATGGAGTAACCTACGGCAAGATTCTAGAAGATACTATTCTTAAAAATCAACATTTAAAAGAAAACAAATTTCTGTTAACCAAACTTCATTCAAAATTCTCTAGAATTGGAGCATATAGATAATTTGATGTTCTTTATTCGATTGAAGTCAAACTTATGATTAGAGCATGTTTTCTCGATAAACAGCATCATTCATAACAAAACCTCTTAAAGTTTTATGAACATTTAAAATGGAAAAATTAGATGAAGCATTAGAAAAATATAAAATTGCATGTTTAGATAATTCAGATTATTATTACCCGATGTGTACAAATTTAGCTGAATTTTACTATAAACGAAATAGCTATGACACGGCCGTTGAGGAAGAAGGAATAACACTTGCTATTTTACGTGAACAATTACCAAACGATATTGTAAAAATGGCTGAAGAAGAAAACTCGAATTTATCTCTAACTGCATTTCACACACTATTTACAAATAGAATAAATATTATAAGTGGTAAAATGTTTGCAACTTTTCTTCAAGAATTAATTTTTATTTATGTTACAATTGGTGATATGTATGTTAAAAAACAATCAACTGCTGATGATGCTTCCAGAAAAAGAGAAATGTATTACTATGGATGATAAAGCAATTAATCATAATTTAAAAATAATTATGTATCAGGATGAAAATTTAACTTTGTTAATTTATGAAAAGCTTGGAAATGTTCATGAATTAAATAATAATGCAGAAAGGGCAATTAAAAATTATGATAATGCATTCAAAGAAACTGAAAAATTTGATACTGTATTACAAGATATAAAAACGAGAAAGTCTGCTTTATGGTATAAGCTTTTAAATTTTCTTTATACGGACAAGGACAAATATGGCGATTTTTTAGGTAAATATGAGTGTGAATCACGCTCGCTGGTGAAATCGTTCACGTACTCAGAAAAAGTAATGGAAAAAATACCTTTTATTATAAATGGAAACGAGAAGTTTTATACTAACGACGACTATCGTGACAAAACTTATGAAGGATTAATTAATGATTGTCAGGAAACATACTTCAGTTTAGCACAAGCCTATTTTGAACTAAGTGATTACGAAAAGTCATTAAAATATTTCAAAACAAATATTGAATTATTATCGACAGATATAGTACCTAATACGGTCTGGATATTCCAAATGAAATAAATAGTAAAATGGCGAAATATATTCCGGATTTAAGTATTGACAAACTAAATCAAATAAAGACAAAATCAAGTTATGTTATTGAAGACAATATTAATAATAAACTTGAATCCTATGTAAAATGTGGTGAAATATCAATAATAATAAATAAATATGGCGATGCTATCATGTATTATTTAAATGCGTTTTACTCATGTGCAACAAAATTAAACAACGACGGAACACAAACAGATAAAGAAATAATAGATGAAATTTGTCAGAAATTAAAACAAAATAGTCTAGAACAAAAGGATATCATTGATTATTATTCGAATATTTCTAATCAAGATGCGGTAATGATTAATATGAAAATGGGTGCATTAAATAGAAACAATGGTGATCATAAGAATGCAATTAAAAACTATGCTGATGCTCTACAATTGTTAGATGGTTGCGCAGGGAATCAGATTATTGAAGCAGCAATCAATTACATTCTATTAAACATTTATTTAAAACCTACTGAAATTGATAGTGATAATGAGAGCAATAGGAATTCCTCTTTTTCTCTTTCTATTAAAAACGATCTCTCATTTTATCACTCGTTTTTGCCATCCAGCTCTATATCTAATGGTGTTGATGACAAGCACATTAACGAATATCGTAGAGAAATGATTGAAAACATGAGAATTGATAAACATCAAATACCAGTATCTGATCATATGCTTATTTATAGATTAATTATCAGTGTAGTCGAAGATGAAATAAGCAAGAAGAAGTATAATGATCTATTGTGTCAGATATACTTGGGAGAAGAAGATAAAGATTCTTAGATTAAACTGTATTGGGCATGTATTAACAAAAGCTGGTGATTATGAAGCAGCTATTTTATATTGGAATGAAATAAGAGAGTTTAAAGAGCAAATGTTACCAATAAAGATTATTGAAATGATACATTTACCAAAATCACCATTCATTCAAATATATAACCAAACAAAATTATTAAAGAAGATTTTATCAAAATATATTTTATCGATTGCAGATGGTTGTCAAAAATGTGCCAGTTATAGTTCAAAATATGGTGATTCTTACGTTAAATTGGCTAATGAAGAGGAAGACGATGATCAAATGTTCTTGAAGTATCGACGTAAAGCTATTAAATGTTATCAAAATGCCAGAAAGTATTATAAGTGTGAATTAAATATTTTAATGAAAAAAGAAGGTGATGGTTGACAAGATGAAAGTATTTATCGTAAAAATATTGAACATATAGATAAAAATATTTATGAAAACTTTGCCAATTCCTGTGTAAAATGTGGTGATAAACGTAAAACATTGGCTAGTGACGATGAAACAGATAAAATAATTTATTATTATCAACGTGCTATTCAATATTATCAATATGCAAGACATGATTATAATATTTTAGTAAAAACTGATGAAATTTATTTGAGACAAGTTGAACAGATTAACAGTTTTATTCAAGATACTCTTGAGAAAATTGCCAATCATAGAGTAAAACAGAGTGATAAATTGGCTAATGATAACAACAAAGAAGAAGATAATCAACTTGCTATTCAATATTATGAAGGTGCTAAATTTAACTATAATTCTGCATTAAATATTTCAATGAGAACAGAAGGAGGACGAGGTGAAAGTATTAAATTTTATGGTAACGCTATTGAACAGATTAATAAAAACATTAAACGTATGACTCATAGAGCACTGGGTAAGAATCTTCTTGTTGCTTAATTCACTTTTTGAAGTGAGAATTAATCTCTGAACAACTGAGTTCTCGATTTAAAATTAAATGATCCTTTCTATTTCTGAATTCTGGAATTCACACAGTATTATCTTGAAACTTTGCCCGACATGGATCCAACTCAAGCTAATTTTCAAATATATTCGATGGATCCGATGGTTATAGGTTAGACCCATCCAGACCCAATGCACAGTGGACAATCATGCGGACATTAGATGAAAAAGTGAAAGCACAATTTTTCTAAATTCAAATAGTGTCAAGTATACTATGAATCACGGGCTATTTAATGGTAAAAATCTTTTTATTCCGTGTGCTGTAGTTGGTGAGAAAAAATGAAAATTTCGTGTTGACGCTTAGCTCCTTAGAAAAGCGGTTTGGTAGCAACCACAGGAACAAATATTATGTTAAAATTCATCCATAATCTCAAACTAGACCTGTCACTCTACGGATTCAACCAAAAAGTTGCTTTTTAATCATTTCTGTTAGGAAAAACAGTTTTCCATCTGCGCTTAGTGCTTTCCCATACCGATAGTTTAAGTAAAATGAGCCTCCCTCTACATCCCAACTCGAAACTCGTTCAGACTTTCACACAATGTTCTTCTGCTTGCCCTCCAACTATGGTGAATGTATAAACATGCATAAATGCACCAGGGCCGTACAGCAGGTTTTTCAAAATACCCATGATTTACGAGGTATTTTCTATTTTTCTCAGAATTTTTGCTCAGAAATGCTATTATTCAATGAAAATGACTTATTTAGAATCAGCGCATCGAACTGCTTCGAATGCCATAGCAGTTATATGTTTTTATGTGCAAGTAACAATTTGATTTAATGAAATGACAGATATGCAGCATTCTCGTAGCAGTTTTGGCTAGGCACTAGGATTTTTGCCTTAGAAGCAGCTTGAAAGCCTACGAAAACTATTAGGTTTTCGTATGCGCTCTTTCCAATGGTTGGATTTACAATGTTCAAAAACACTTATAGTCTGGTTTGCCAGAGACCGGATTTCTGGAAAACCCTAATAATAACATCTTTGAACTTGCAAATGACATAATTGGAAAGAGCGCATACGAAAACCTCGCTTTTCAGAATCTTTTATTTAAATTCTTAAAATGGAACAAAAGGACAAAAACAACAAAAAAAACGGTAACGTCCTATCATCGCTCATTTTTATTCACGGCTTGAACGACAGCAAGTATTCTCATCACTTGGTAAATTGAAAGGAAAAGATGTGGCTGTTACTGTCTTTGATGATTTGACACCGTCCGTCCGCTTTGGCTATATACAAGCGTGAACGTGCTCATCTTAAGAGTGATGGAACCAAGCGAGTGATTTCTCGACAAGGGAAGATATTTATTCAGGATGTTAATGTTCAGAGTCTTCAACTGGTGTCAAAGTAAAGGAGAAGTTGTTATATGTTTATTAATTAGTGATGTTTCTTTTCTCTCGCTCGTTCGTTTATTTCTCTTCTATTCATTTTATCAAGAACCTTTTTCTGTTTACTTTGTTTCTGTTAACAGTTAGCATTGAATCAAACATGAGCTCATTTTCTAATTTTCGCTTCCCATCTTTTTCCCTCCCTTTCTTTCTCCCTTCAAAAACTTGGATTCACTTAACGCACCTATGCTGTATAATCCTCATACTGTCGTCGTTCTTTCTTATGGCGATAGATAAGATTAACACAACGAGAGTAAAATAAAGAATTGCCTTTTTAAATTCAAAAAGTGTACGGAATAAAATGAGTGATTTGTGTGCCTATGTTTCACTTCAGACTCCTCTGGTATTGGGTCTGGTTGAGACCTGGCTAGATGGTGCGGTTCTGAATCAGCGTGTTAGTATTCCGGGTTATAGACTAGAGAGAAGAGATGGAGTTGGTAAAACTGGTGGTGAGTGTTTGGTGTATATTTGAAGTGACATACACTACGTAAGGGTTGTAGAATTTGAACATGTAGATTATGAAATCCTTTGCATTCGACTGACATTTTCAAATAATCTTCATTTTCTTGTATTTACTGTATATAGATCACGAGAAGTATCTAATTGGAATCAATTTATTGCACATATGAAAAATCTTCATTCGCTTATTTCTAAATCCAAATCCAAATTAGATAAATTAATTTTTATTGGAGACTTTAATGCACATAACAGTTTATGGTCTCAGACGAGTGTCCCGTCTACCTCTGAAGGACTA